GATCTACTATTAAAATTAATAATAATAATAATAATAAATAAATTTTTTTAAAAAATAATTATTAATTATTAAAATAAAAAAAAAAGAGAAAATAGAAAAAAAAATAGAAAGTAGGGTGGCTGGTGTACGGTGCTGCTGTCACCCCCGACCAACCCACTAACTAGCCTACTGTCCAGCCACCAGACCAAACAGCCACCCTACTACGCTACGACCACCATCTATCCCCTTATTGAAGCTCTTTTAAAACCCACAGCCTCTTTCCCTTCAACCTCTTTCTCGGACAACCCCTCTCGAAAACCTTCAAACAGATCTTCGAAACCTCTAAACATACTGCCCACAACACCCTTTCGGACACCCAAACACAAAAAAAAAACCCTTAAACCCACACCAACCATGAAAATAGAAACACAAAAACAGAAACAAAAAAAAGACAAACAGTCTTCCCCATAGGAAGGAACCTCAGCGCCGAGCTCCCTGCAAAAACAAAGAAAATAGATCAGTTTTAGTCTAAAAAAAAAGAAAGGCAGAAAACTTCAAGCCCTGATTTACGACGATCAAGGCCGTTTTTGGCGAAAAGAAAGCCAGATCTGAAAAAAGGGAGTTGAAAAGAGCTGCCAAAATAATTTTTACATTTTTTGGCGATCGAAAACCGTTGGCAACGACCACAAGCAATGACTCATGTGGCTGTCGGCACGGTGATCCGATGACCAGACGGTAAAAGCACCAGAGCTCTCTTTTTCTTTTTTTTTTCTGAAATAAGAGAAGAATGACCAAAAAAAATTTTTTTGGTTTTATATAGAAGGCTACAGTCTAAAACGACGTCGTTTCGGCCAAGGAAGATCCGCGCATTGATCTGGATCTGACTCGGGATCCATGCAACCCGACCCATTGACCCGTTCTTTCAATAGTTGCTAACCGATCCAATTGAACCAGTTTGAACCGGATCGAACCATAGACTTCCACCCGAACCGCAGATTAAACCGTCAAACAGATTTAGACGGGACAGTCCGGTTCAGGTAAAATAAAATTTTTTCTTTTTTAAATTTTATTTTCTAAATTTTTTATATATTATTATTTTTGTTATTTTAAGTATATTTTTATATTTATGCATGATAAGTTCTTAAATTTGTTATGATAAATGTTTTAATTATTTTAATAATAATAAAATTGAAAACAAGTAATAATTAAAAATATATATTAAAAATACTTTAAAAATAATTATTTTTATTATTTTTCCTGCCTAGATGTTGGTGGGAATAAAAACATTTTTCTAAAAATAATTCTGCCTAGATGTTAGAGAATTATTATTAATAAATTTTCATAAAAAAAGATATATGAGAAATTATTGATTAAATTTTAAAAATCACTAAAATCGAACTTGATCCGAAAATCCGCCTAAATGTTAGAGATTTTTAGAGATGTTCAAATTTTCTTAAAAACGAAACCTCAATTTTTAAAACCAAAACCATAGGTTTCTAAAACTCCTAAAATCCAAAATCCTAAAATCTGAAACCCTAAAAATCTAAAATCCCCTAAATCCAAACGACTAAAATCCAAAACCCCTAAAATCCAAACCCCAAAATTCAAAATCCCTAAAATCCAAACCCTTAAATAAAAACCCCAAACCCTAAAATCTCCAAACTCTAAAATCAAAACCCTAAACTTCTATATCCTAAAATTCAAGCCTTAAGACCCTTTGAACCTTAAAACCCTCTGAACCTTAAAACCAAACCTTCAAAGCCTCTACTCAAGCCCTTACTCAAAACCTCCTAAAAATTCTAAGGACACGTGTGAAAATTCCATTTGAAGCAATTTGTTCTCGAATGCCACCTAGATGATAGGGTATTTAGGAAATTTTACTTCGTTAAGTCTTTTCACACGATTTCTTAATCGCATTAATAATAAGATTAATAAATAAAAGGTATAACAGTAAATTGGGATCTTAAATATAAACAATCGCATCTAAGCTCTGCCTAGATGTTGGAAAGTTGTGGTGGTCTCATTATACTTACAGAATCTAACTTTTTAAATTGCATTTCATTTTATATGACATTCATATAGCATACAATACGTTAGCATATTATTATCAGTTAATTATTGCCACTATTCCTATCTTTAATTTTTATTTAGCTACTTGGTGATAAAATATTTTATAATAAAAAAGAATAATACTTTATATTAAAAAAAAATTATGATATTACAAAATAAAATAAAAGTAACATTCCGAAACAGAAAATATATTCCTGGTAACTCTCTGCCTTAGATGTTGGAGAGTCACCACAATTTTTATAAAGATTGTTATCTTCATTTTAAGGATGGTTGTGTTAAAATCTTTAAAGCAAAAGAGTTATTTTAAATTATGCCTAGATGTTGGAGAATTTAAGATAATTCATTAACTTAAGATTTTCTCAATATTTCTAAATAAAAATTTTAGCAAAATATTTTTTAAAATGAAGGGAATTAGTATTAAATTTCAAGTCAAAACTATTTTTATCCAACATCGAAAATAGCGCATAATTAAATGGTACCAATTTATGGGCGTTGTGGGGGTGTTAATCCTTTCCCACACATAACCAATTCCTAAACCCAACCTGATTTTTCGTGGACCAAAATTTATCTTTTTGATAAACTTTAAACTCGTTTTTATAGTTTTATTAAAAAGATAAACTTTTGGGTGGCCAATCACACCCTAACGAAGATTGGTAGCGACTCCATTTATTTTTCTCGATTTTTAAACGTCTTATGTCTGACGCGTACCAAAACTGTTACGACAACCTCAACAGTCCTCTTCACACCCTTCAATAAGAAATTGATACACTATGACTTCATACATTTATGACCAATTGAATACTTGGCTCTACTTTAATAGCAAAGCCTCTTTTTTTCTCATTTGCCTGCCATTGTAGCTAGAGTAAGCCTTTTAGTAATGGTCTTAAAGCTATTAGTGCTTACTATTAAGAACTTGGGTTGATTGGTTTGCTAGCTGGAATTTTTAGTATTGTTGAAGTTCAATAAGTTGGAGTTAGGTTGAAACCTTTGGTGTTGGCAATAAGAGAAGGTAAGGTAATATTTTTAGTAGAAACAATACTAGTAGAATGGTAAAAGAATGAAAAAGATGATTTAAAGAATGAAGTGGTTCATTTCAAGTAGGTTGGATGATAGTCTTAATATTTTAGCTAAATGTGAAGCTTGGTTTAAAGTTGTGGATCTAAACAACCTTAATAGATTAGGATATATCTGGTTTTAAATTACTAATGAAACAATACTCAAGACATAGTTACTAATGAAAAACACTCAAGACATAGGAATCAGATAGCTACATCTAAGAAGCCAATAAAATCTTCATAAATTTGTTTAACATAAGTGGTTTGTTTTAAGTTCTATGAATTTGGCCATAGGATCCTAATACCTTTCATATACAAATTCATCTTTCATGTCTTTGATATACCCTGCCTAGTTTCTAATTTTCAAACCCCTTTTGAGACCTAGTATAGTATTGGGGTCACCATAGAGTTTTTCCCTCAAAGTTCAACATTACTTGCCTTACCTTACTACTAATAGGTACTTTCTCAACTTCAAAATACTATTCTAACTTCATAAACCAACCTTTAAAGTCCTCATCATTAAACTTAGGATAATCCCTTTAAAGATTCTAGATGAATAAAAAATGATGTACCTATTTTGGGTTGTTTTTAAGGGATTGTTAAAAAACACCTCAACCACAAGGGACTTGTCCACTTCATGATTGAGGTTGTTTCTTTTCCTAGCCTTTTCTATAGTGTGCTCACTGAAGCTTGGTCACCCTCAAATGCACTTGATATTGAGTTCTTTTCCCTAGTAGTCATCATCTCTAAAAACTATTTAAGCTTAAACCTCATTTCTGTAAACTATATAACCATCTTGAAATCAAACTGATCAATCTTGGAATCTGTTGCTACATCTCCATTTGAAGCTTAGCTACATCTTGCTAAGTTTGTTGAATCTACTTTTGAAGTAGAATAGAAATTCCATCAGCCATTGGTGATAAGTCATGGCTCTAATACCAAATGATGCAAACTGACTTTAAATATAGAGCAAGATAGTTATCTTAAAAAAAGAAAATTTAAAGGAAGAAGAACACAAAATGTTTAGGAGAAAGAAAAAGATAATTCTATTCCAATGATTCATACTATACATCCCTCCTCTTTTTAGTACTGTAAGCTAGCAACCTTCAATTGAATCTGAGAATCTCGGATGCCAATGCTACATTCTCTCTCTCCCTTCATAACATTAATATAAACACTCATAAGGAAATTGGGTTCTATTAAACACATATATTACAGAAACTAAAAGAAGTCCAATAAAATAGGTCCAACAACAGTAGTAAATAAAACCAACTGTAGTCCAATCTTTTAAGCCCACAATGTTGAGATTTAAATCGTTTGATGTTCCGGCAATTTAAGGATTGGGCCATCTTGAGCTTTAAACATTTCGTATTCACTTTTGGTTTAAAGCATTTCAAGTTTAAATAATTTAGTTTCAAATCATTTTGAATTTAGGTTGGTTTGTTTCATGTTCATACAATTTTAAGTTTGGACCGTATGGAGTTTCAATCATTTCAGATTGAGTCTATTTTGGGTTTGATCAATCTCCGGTTAATTACAATTAGGTCTTCTTTGTAAGGGTTTCTAATAGGATATGTTGATGAGTTCGGTATTATTGCAAGTTGGGGAAAACTATGGGTTCATATCTCTTTAAGATTCAGTTGCTTCGAGTTTTTCAACTACGGATGTTCAGAATGGTGGCGGCCAACTGTGAATCCGACGTCCATAGATGAGGGTACTGTCAACATTCGTAGAATTAATACTGCTACTGGTGAGGCAGAAAGGGCGTTTTACTACTAGAAAAAAAAAAGGTGGCTAACTTTTTCTGTTTCACCAACAACTGCTGCAAAATAGCTATGTATCAAAAATCCCCACCCTGGTACCACCTAAATTAAGCAGGTCTATAGCAATATAACAATCCACAATCATTACTAAAACAGTAATAATCCTTAAAGAACACATTGTTCAACGGGGGACAGGCCGACAGGGAAAGAGAGGAAACTGCTAACATCCGCAATACCAACATTGCAGGTCGTCTGGCTTCTTATTCAACTAAAACAAGCAGTTTAGAGAAGTTCACATTTCATACTAGAAAGCACAGCACAACAGGCACAGTCTCACAATTCATGTCCAAGTAGGTGTGACAGCCCATAGAAACACTAGTAATTCTAACATTCATAAATAATTAAAAGCTCAGCTCACAATTTCAACAGGCTCAAAACCCTTCTCAACGGATGCGTTGACAGCATCCACAACCAATTGTGTCTTCCTACTGATTGTCGGCCACTTATTATCTGGCTGAGCACCATTTTTTTTAATATTTCCAACCAAGCCAGCAAACTCTCTCACCATGCAGGCTTCCTGAGGTAGGTCTACGTTGACATTGTGTTCACTTGGAATCGGCACCCATCCTGTTCCAAGCTCATTATATCGAGCTTTTGAGGATGTAGTATAAGAGGCCTCATGCTCTTGGTAAGGAATGATAAAATCTGTGAGATGCAAAGTTCCAAATGTTCCTATAGCAGTGATATTCATTGTCAGATTTGATAAGAAAGAGCAATTGAAGGTTGCAGTTTTGCCATCTTCCCAGTGTAGTGAAGCCCCACAATCAAGTATTAACCCTTCTTCATTGACAACAGGACCTCGCAAGGCTGTAACGGTCTTGGGCAGCTCATAGTCAGCTGCCCACAGGATTGACCTGATGCCATACCATCCAGCATCACCAAGAGCACCAAGAGTGTCAAGATCTGGCTTCACACGAATGTTATTCTGGAAAAACTCCGGAGGGGCAAAATATGTGAAGCAGCTATGTACCTGAGGAAGCCAAAGGTTTTTAATCAATATTGTCATTCTCAGTTAAAATTACACAGCTTAAGAAAAATACTTGTATTGTTATTTTAAAACAAATACTTATTAAAATTTAATTTGAGAAAAATTTGTAATCAATCCAATTTATCCTTCTTGAACTATTTATCTATATTTGAGCTAACAAATAAAAACTTAAAAAAATCCTCAGCAACTATATTTTAGGTGTTGTGTCTTTGGGCCATTATTTTAAGCTCCGTTTCATATCAAAAAATTTTTTTGCTACTCATTTGCTTTATCCTTTATAAAACCCTTTCTTCGAACCCCAACTAAGCTTATGTCCGGTGGCCATAAAAACTCGATCTGTGTTCGTATCATTGTTGATAATGAACTTTTTTTTTTTTACTAAGCCAAAATAAAATTTTATTAAAAGTAACAAAATGACTACAAATATCCGAATACAATAAAGCACAGATAGAATAGAGGCCCCAAAGAAAATATATTAACACCATATGAGAAATCCAAGAGTAGTGTAATTATCAACAATTCCAACAGTCACAGATAGGTCAACAGTAAAAATATAGATTTAGAAAGCCGTAAATACAAAAGAATCCAACTAAGCACCCGTCAAAAAGATTCTGAGCTAATTCCTTCATCAAGTCAACATCCAATATGAACATTCATATTTATAGACCATTAGTTGTATTTGTTTTCTTTCCCTTCATCTGCAACCCACAAGATTTAAGATTTTCCATTCTAAACAAATATTCATGTCCTAGCTAATTATCTTTTTTTGTTTTTTCATCCAACTAAGAAGCAAAATTACTAAGACTTTCAAATTCTTATCTAAGGCGAGACCAAAGCACTCTGTTTAGTCTCCTTGATATTTGGCATGAGATTCTCCCCACTCAATTTTCTTTATGACGTCTTTGTCACAGCAAACATACTCTACCTACTTCCCTAAAACACTTGGTGTGGTCTGACCCACCCTACCTACCCTCGCTGAAATGCTCGGTGCCCGCATACCCTACTAGGGCACTTGATGTGGCCACTTGCCACATGATCATTATCCTATTCTTGTAAATTTGGCTTATTGGAATGTACACATTTATATGTTCAAAGACTTCTCCTTTCTTATTCGAAGTGAGATTAAAACACGGTATCCTCTTCTTTTGAAGCGTTTGATCTGACACAAAACCTCTCCTAGCATCTTACATTACTCTATGGGGTTTAATGCTCGTCTAATAAGCCTCGGTCTTGGTTCTAAATTGACAACTTAACAACCAACAAAAGCTTTTGCCAAACCATAAATGAATCATGGTCCAACAAGGTAGCACGAATGCCTCATGTTTTAACAATAAACAAGCCATAAGCATCGGCTGAAGAGGTTCAGAAAAGCACTAGGTTCTGGATTAACAGGAATAAACGATAACTCCATCACCCAAACACAGACAGTCTTAATACATTGCAGTCAAATTAGGTGAAGGGCACTAAATATAATACCTGAGTAAAGCAAGTTGCTCATTTCTAAAAACATTAAGTACCGCATACAAAGACGCAAACATTTATCAATTTTAAGAAGTTGACAACATTCCATTGCCTAATTTATACAAATATCAGGCAATTACTAAAAGGCATCATAACTCTAGCTCAGAATAATATTTATAAAAACAAAAATAAAATAAAATAAAAATCAATAATATTCTAATCTTTTTAAAAACATAATGTTTTCTACCTTATTGAATTGACCCACTTAACTTTTGAAATTGAATAATATATATAATATAGTCTATAACTCTTTATTAAAAGAATTTCAAAGGTATTAGAGACTGACAGTTGTCCAAACGGATAAGGAAGAAATTTGTAAAATTTTTAAGATGGCATTTAGTTCTTGGAATCTTAGATCCCCTTTGAGAATATGATTTCAGAGGAAATTACTTTATTAGATAGATTCTGAAAATGAATGATTCTTGCATTTGGTAAGAAATGTAATATTATTTAATAAAGTTTGGTTATATATTATCTTCAATGTCATGTGAATAACACATGATATATAATTATATTTAAATTATTTATTTATTTAACATGTAAATAGTTTATTTAACATGATAATTTATATTTTTTTAAAATTATTAAAAATTTAAAAACACTAAAATTATCTATATATAAAATAATCCTTTTGTAAATAAATATTTGAATCTATATTCTATTCAATTGCATGGAATCTAATTACTATCATAACATTACATGCCTCAATGCAAAGCCAACATACGATTCTATCTTCGTGATAAGATCGATGTGGAAGTTGGAAGGAATATGGTAAACCTCCTCTGAGGGTTTCCGAAGACAAAGCTCCCAAAATAAATTTTATGTATAGTATATTTTAAATTGTATTGTACATATAATATATTTAAAATGTAAATTATTTATTTAATATATAATTTATTTATTTAACATGTAAATTATGAAAATATATTATAATTATTTTCATAATATATTTTATAATAGACAACATTTGTTGTCTTAAAACGTAGTCCATGTTTGTGATCCTAAAATTATTTAAGAAGCTTTTTGAAAAATATTTTTTTTCATAATATATTTTAACAATGATTACGTTTTTAATCATAGAAAATAATCTTTTGTTGAAACTGAAAAGTTCTCAAAAATAAGTTTTTATAATGTATTTTCAACAAAAACTACATTTTTAATAAAAAACTTGTTTTTGTTAAAATTATAGAATTCTAAAAAATAAATTTCTTTTATAATATAATTTTAACAAAAACCATGTTCTTAATCATAAAAACATTGTAAACAATAAAATTCTAAAAAATAAATTTTTTTTCATATATATTTTCAACAAAAATCATACTCCAAAAAATATTTTTTTATAATATATTTCAATAAAAGTCACATTTTTAATCTTAAAAACATTATTTTTGTTGAAACTATAGAATACTCGTAATGTAGTTTCAACAAAATTCACGTTTTTAATATGTAAAATATTATCTTTATTGAAATTATAAAATTATAAAATTATTGTTTTTGTTGAAATTATAGAATGTTGAAAAAAAATTAAAATTTTGTACTTTCAACATAAATTTCATTTTTATCTTAAAAACATAATATTTATTAAAATTATGAAATTTAAAAATTAAATTTTTAATTAATTGAAAAAAAATTTTAATTATATAAAATTCAATTAATATCTATTTTTGAAAAGAGTTTTATATTTTTTATAAAAATAAAAATATGGAGATAAAGAAAAGAGAAGAAATAAAAATTAAAAGAATTATGCAAATAAATTTTTTATTTGTATCAAATGTTTTATAGATTTGCGATAACAATCTTTAAAAACAAGCTTTAAACTTATTATGTATAGGAATTGTCTTTTTCCATTTAAAATTTTGATCTTATGATCTTATGTATTTATTATAATTTGTATTGAATATATGCATTATTTTAGTTTTAAAAAGTGATATATTAAATTAAGTTTGTGATTGTGGAATATTTAATTTTAATTATTAATTAAATAAAAACGAGTTTTAATCATTAAAAAGTGTTATTGTATTAATATAAAATAAGTTATTGCATATATATAAATAATATTTTAATTACTCAATTTATATTTATTAAAATTAAAATAAATATTCATAAATAAAAAATATATATCTAAACGAAACTCGAGACACATTCTATTTAGTATAAAAATAATGTTTTTCCTATTTTTGACATCATTAAAATTTATTTAAATTTGTTATGAAATCATAAAAAAATAAATTTTCATTTTCATTTTTACATTTATTTAATTTGGGAATTCTAATACTAATTTTCTTTCACTACAAGTCTAAGTTTAATTTGTGAGTTAAAAAAATTATTCGACATACATTTCTATTTTTTTTTAATTAATCTCATTTTATCTTTATATTAATTTTAGTTTGTTACTGTTTTTTGTTGAAATTCTCTTTTTTTTTCCTTTCATTTTATTGTCATCACACTTTGCAATTATATTTATTCTTTAATTATCTCGATAATACATATTATATATGAGTTTAATCTAATTTGTAATTGATTGATTTATTTTAATTAATATCATATGTAATTAGTTATATGACAACACAAATGTAATTTCATTGTAAAAGAAAATTTTATTGTATCATCTATTTATTTGAATTTTTTTAAAGATTATGATTGGCATTAGAGAAAAATAAAAAACTAGCACAACTAATGAGATTATTGAGATAAATTTTCATTATAAATCAATTATAAAAAATATTTATTTAATTTAAAAATTATATTATATTGTGAAATATTTTTTATATTTAATTTCTTTGTATTAAGCAACAAAATATTATAAAAATTCCATAATAAAAGAAAAAAAAATTGAACCGAAACCCGGTAAAATATTTACCGTTTTAAGCTGACCAAACCGCTCCTTATCGTCTAAAAACTCCTTCATTTTCTGCGTCCTGGGATGATGCACCCACATGGTCCCATCCATAATCTGAACCCCATTTTCATCACATGCCTTTAGAATCTGATCAAACTCAGCCACGTTCAATGCCACGGGCTTCTCCAATAGCAGATGCTTCTTTTTCTGAGCAGTCAATACGGCCCATTTCAGGTGGAGACTAGTGGGTAGGGGCAAATAAACCGCGTCGACGTCGGGGTCGTCTAAAAGGGATTCGTAGGAGCCGTAGACCTTGGCTTCAGGTGGGAACCCATTGGCCTTGGCGAAATTGGCCGCTTTGTCGAGGGAGCGGCTGGCGATGGCGGAGAGAGTAGCGTTAGGAGCTAGTAGGATAGCTCGTGAGACTCTGCGGGCTATCTCAGCGCAGCCGATGATGCCAAATCTGATTGGAATATCAGCCATCTTTTAGTGTGGTGGCAGTGCTTTGGTGATGCTTCTCTTATGAAATTAGAAGATAAAGAGAGAATAATAGTGAGAAAGAAAAGAGTAAAGAGAGAGAATAAAATATGCTTTTCAAACAACCAATTGCATAAGAGGATGAACGGCACTCTTATTTTTACAATTTTATAATGTCTCTACTAGCAGTACCGAGAATCTCAGACTATTCCTTACACTTCAGACGCACACCGAAAGTTAGGCTAAATAAATTTATCATCTGTCCACTTAAATTGGCCTAAGTCCGAGAACATTGGCTTTACAATATTTTAAATGCCATTATTGTTCAGCCTGCATCGATACTCCCCAACAAAAAGATTCTTGTCCTGGAAGATTAAAGGTAGTATACTTCTTTATAAATTCATATAAAACCTCCATTGTTGCATCCTCAGAGGAGGAGTTTGTTCATTGTTCTAAAACCTCAAAGACTGCTTTGTCATCCTCGTTAACCATCCTCCTGTCAATAAGGTTTTATGGTTCTTTAACAATTGTTCCATCCTCTCGCACAACAGCCGCTAACGTTTATTTTAGATTCATTTGGATAGAATAGTGAAATTGATTTTAGGGATATAAAAAAATAGTAGTAAAAATAAGAATAATTACTATAATAATAAAATTAAATAAGTAGTGCGAATACATGTTTAAATGTAAACGTAATGACGACAATGAGATTAATTATAATGAGAATATAAATGATCATTAAAATTAATAGATTAAAATTTGTATCTAATAATAAATTTTTAAATTATTTAATATTTACAAATTTTATTTAAATTATTAGTTATATTAAGTTAATAAAAATATTTTATAATTTTTAAATTAAAGATCAAAATGAAAACAAAAATAACATTGGTTCAATTGGTATTAAAATATGGTTTAAAGAGCAAAATAAAAAAAAAAAAACAAAAACAAAAAACCAAAACCCACGTCGCACCTATTTGATCAAAAATAGCTAATCAATTATTTGCCCTCATAGCATGTGTTGGCCACCTATTTGGGTGTCTTATGAAAGGTGGGCGCGGAAAAGGATGATAACCATCCCTTACCAAGAGTCTAGTTCATCCAAACGAAACCTTAGACAATTGATTCTAGAAAGCACCGATAAATGTTCCCATTTAGTGATGTTTATCCTAGAAAACACCATTAAATTTATAAAAATTTCATTCCTGAATTTCATATCAAAGCATTTAAGAAACATCACTAGATATTAAAAAAAATCTTAATTTTAACAGTGTTTTCCCAAAAATGTCGCTTGACAATAAAAAAAATACCACTAAAAGTCTAATTTCTCATAAGATATGTAGCTAAATTTCCAACATTCTTTTTTAATCGAGACATATGAGTTGTAGATATACGATAGATCTAATGGGTAATTGTAACTTGTAGGCCATTTTTCCCTCTTGTTTTAATATTTTAAAAGATCTAAAAAATTTAAAAGCTAGTTTGACACGATTCTTGCTCATAACTTATTGCTATCAATATGGTTGGAGTTTGACATAAGCCAAATCTCCCACTCGAAACTCCTTATCACTTCTTATCTTGTTATCCATGTTTTCATCCTCTTTTAAGGCTTGTGTAAATAAAACTTCAGCTTTTGTATAGCACCTTCTCTAACTTGTAGGCTCATGTCTATCATTCCTACCAAAAAGTCTCTTACTAGTGCCAAGCAAGGCAAATGCAAGAGAGGTGGTTGTCCATACACCACCTTATATGGGCTAAAGTTGATAGCAAAATGATAATTAGTGTCGTACCATCATTCTGTTAATGGTAACCATTTGCACCATTCCCTTGGTGTTTCACTCACTTTGTATCTCAAATAGGTTTCTGAACATCAATTAACCATTTTTATTTGCCTATTCAATTAAGGATGGTGGGTAATAGGGATGTTTAGAAAAATTCCATACTTTTTGAAAAGCTCATGCCAAAACCCATCCATAAAAATCTTATCAATTTAACAAACAATAGAGTTAGGCATTCAATGTAGCTTGAATATTAGATCCATAAATACTTGTGCCATTATCAAAGCTATGAGAGTATGAGAAATTGTGACAAAGTAGCATACTTACTCAATTTGTCGACAAAATAAGCATACTTGTGCCATTATCAAAGCTGTGAAATGATGAGAAATTGCTATAAAGAAGCATACTTGCTTTCTTGGGGCTACCTCTCACTCTCTTACTTCAAGGAGACTAACTAGAAACCCAAGTTGTCTAAACCACTGAAAATCACTACCTATTCTTCCTTCATTAGCCACTATTCGACTTCAATCTAGCCTTCTTTTTTTTCTTTCTTCCATTTTTTACTGGCCAAAAATCTTACAAGAAAAACTTTAAAGCCTTTAACCATTTTTGTTACCACTGATCCTAGTATTATTCACTGTCTGACCACCACATGCTTTTCTTTCCTTTCTTTCCTTCACAAATTTGAAATTGCCTAAAACACTTAAATAAAAAATACCAAAACTTTTTTTTGTTTTTTTTTATTTTTTTTTTGTGGTTTTTTTTTTAAGGAATTGTGTTCGAATTGTTGAAAATTGTGTTTTGTTGGTTATGTGTATTGGTTTCTAATGATATTTTAGCTTACTACGTTTATCTTTGTGTATTGTAGTGATTGCCTATGTTTGATTGTGTACTCAGTTTATTGTTTCTAGGTTATAGCTATCTCACTAGTTGTGGGTTGTTCACTTGTTCTTATTTCTAGGTTCCTTTTATAGATGTCAACAAAATAGGTTTTGGGGTAAAGCATTCCCTACTCCCATCCTTGAAATTTAAATTTGTCCATATCCTTGTCCCCATTCTCGAATTTGTAACTTGACTCAGCCCTATCCCCTCAAGAACTAATGGGTATGAGTAATCCCTATACCATAATTTTTTAAAAACATTAAAAATAAACATTTTAATATTTTTTAAACTAAGTAAAAACTTAACCATTCACATGTGAAAACAAAAACAAATATTTATAAACACTAATGCAAATACAAATCTAAATCACAAATATTCACAAAATAAAAATCATAAAAAAACTTTAGCAAAAATAATATTTTAAATGATATATCTTAAAAATTTTGAGAATTTCACTTGATGGACACATAAATTCATCATAAAATAAGCCCATTCAAAATTAAATAAAAGAAACACTTATCATTAGTAAAATAACACTTATAAATAGTGTTAAACAGTTAACATAAACTAAATACAAAATTTTTTTATCAATGTGTCTATAATATATACCTATTGTATCTCTTCTTCACTTTCAACATCATCATGAACAAAGCCATAATATGCATTATTTTCTTTTAAAGATCTGACTAAAAAAAATATCATTTAAAGTTATACATTAAATTATAATGTAATAAAATCACTAATTTTTTTTATTAAATCCATTACCTTATAGATCTTTCAACAACCACTTTTGAACACACATTAGTACTTCTAAAGTATTTACATGAAGCCTATTGTGATGAGAACTCACCAATTTACCGCTATTACTGAAGGTAGATTCTGAAGGTACATTGAAAACTGGAATAGCCAAGATATCCCTAACAATTCTTTGTAAAGTTGGGTTATAGAGTCCACCACTTTTCCACCAAGCTAATATATTAAAATCTAGAGTTCTTGGCAAAACTTTATCTTTCAAATAATGATCTAACTCAGATTTAGTCAATGAATCATTGTCATAATAGTTTTGGAACTATCAGGCATAAAAAATTTTAAAATTGAGAAAAAATAAGGGAGTTACTACCAATCTTTTTTAGGGTATGATTGGTCACTCAAAAGTTTACCTTTTTAATAAAACTATAAAAGAGAGTTTAAAGATTATCAAAAAGATGGAAAAAGATTAGCAACCCCACAACGCCCATACATTGATACCACTTAATCATGCATTACTTTCGATGTTGGATGAAATGGTTTTGATTTGAAATTTAATACTAATTCCCTTCATTTAAAAAATTTTTTTGCTAAAATTCTTTATTTAGAAATATTAAGGAAATCTTTAAGTTAAATAATTATCTTAAAATTCTCCAACATCTAGGCAGAATTTAAAAAAATTCTTTTCACTTAAGATTTAACACAATATTCCTTTAAAATGAAAATAACACTCTTTGTAAAATATGATTGTTGGTGACTTTCTAACATATAGGCAGAGTATCAAGAATTATTTCCTTCGAAATGTTATTTTTGTTTATTTTATAATATCCATAATTTTAAAATACGTGTTTTCTTTTTCTTTTTTTTTTTGTAAAACACTTTATATGAGAAAGTAAATGATGGTATTATCAGGTAGCAAGTAAAAATTAAAGATAAAGAAATGCAAAATAAGTGCCAACAATAATATGATGACATATGTATGTCGCTAAATGTTATGCAATGTGATGAAATGAAATTTAAAAATGGACTCTTAAATATAATAAGACCACATTGACTCTCCAATATCTAAATAGAGCTTAGATACGATTATTTCTATTTAAAATCTCATTTTATATTATTTTTTAGTAAAGCTTATGATTTTATTGTTGAAGCGAATTAAGACTCCCATGAAAAAACTTAATGAATAAAGTTTCCTAAATACCCTATCATCTAGGCAGCATCGAAAATAAATTACTCCACTTGAGATTTTTGCACGTTATCCTTAGAGTTTTAGAATGATCTTGAGCATAGATTTAGGGTTTAGAGGGTTTAAAAGTTTTAAATTTTTTGAGGTTTAGGTTTTAGGCTTTTAATTTGAGGGTTTAAGGTTTTAGGGTTTTAATTTGAGGGTTTAAGGTTTTAGGGTTTTCAGTTTTTAGGGTTTTTATTTTAGGATTTTGATTTTATTGTTTAAAAGGTTTAGGGTTTTAGTATTTTGATTTGGAGGTTTAAGGTTTTATTTTTAGGGTTTAGGGTTTTGATTTTAGAGTTTGGGATTTAAGGTTTTGATTTTAAGGTTTAAAATGTTTAAGATTTTGATTTTAGGGTTTAAAGGGTTTAAGGTTTTAGTTTTAGTGTTTGAGGGTTTTGAATTTTAAAACACAAACATATCTAAAAATTTCCAACATCTATGTGGACTTTCAAAGCAAGTTCTTTTATGATTTTCAAAACTTAATTTTAAAAAAATCTTATATATTTTTT